CCGTTCCCCACCCGGTCCCGGTCCCGCTCCACAGACACGGAGAGCCGCAGGTTGTGCGGCACGGCGGCGCTGCGCACGGCGATGCCGTCCTGCTGCGGGATGCCGAGCTGCGCCGCCACGTCCCGTGCCGTCGCCACCGTGGCTGTGGCCGTCAGAGCCAGGAAACAACGGACGCCCAGACGGTCCCGGAGAACCTGAGGGAGGATGGGGACATCGGGGATTGGGGGGATGGCAGCAAGAGGAGGATGAGGAGGAGGACAAGAAGAGGAGGAAGGTGTTGAGAGGAGGAGGGCGATTGCAAGAGGAGGAGGAGGATGATGAGGAAGAAGACAGCAAGAGGAGGAGGAGGAAAGGAAGAGAAGGAGGAGGAAAGGAAGAGGAGGAGGAGGAAAGGAAGAGGAGGAGGAGGAAAGGAAGAGGAGGAGGAGGTGGAGAGGGAGAGGATGACGATGATGACAGGAGGAGCAGAGGAGGAGGAGTACGAGAGGAGGAAGATGGCGAGAGGAGGAAGGTGGTGATGAGAAAATGATGGGGAGGAAGACGTGGAGAAAGATGATGACAAGAAGATGTGGAAGAAGATGAGGATGATGAAGAGGAAGATGGAGACAAGAGGAGGAAGACGAGGAGAACAGCAACAAGAGGAAGATGGAGAGAGAAGGACAAGGAGGATGAGGAAGAAGGTGAGAGGAGGAGGAGGAGGATAACAGAAGAGGAGGAGGAGGATGGCAGGAAGAGCAGGATGATGAGGAAGACGGCGAGAGGAAGGTGAGGATGATGGTGAAAAGAGGAGGATGAAGAGGATAACAGTGAGGAGGACAATAACAGCGAGAAAAGGAGGATGAGGAAGATGGTGAGGAGGATGACAATGAGAAAAGGAGGATGAGGGGGATGAAGAGGATGACGGTGAGAAGAGGAGGAGGAAAGTGAGAATAGAAGGAAGATGAAGAGGATGGCAGTGAGAAGAGGAGGAGGAAGATGAAGATGGCGGTAAGAGAAGGAGGAGGACAACGAGAAGAGGAGGAGGAGGACAACGAGAAGAGGAGGAGGAAGATGAAAATGGCAATAAGGAGAAGAGGAAGAGGAGAGCGAGAAGAGGAGGAGGAGGAGAGCAAGAAGAGGAGGAGGAAGATGAAAATGGCAGTAAGAAGAAGAGGAGGAGGAGGGCGAGAAGAGGAGGAGGAGGGCGAGAAGAGGAGGAGGAGGGCGAGAGGAGGAGGAGGAGGAGGGCGAGAAGAGGAGGAGGAGGAGGGCGAGAAGAGGAGGAGGAGGAGGGCGAGAAGAGGAGGAGGAAGATGGTGAGGAGGATGAGGAGAAAGACAGTGAGGAGGAAGCCGATGAAGACAGCGAGAGGAGGAGGAGACAAGGACCATCCCCACGCTGCTCCCCCCACGGCGGGACCTCACACACCTTGCAGAGCCGCAGGTAGCAGGGACGGAAGTTGTGGGACCACTCGGAGACGCAGTGCGCCTCGTCGATGCAGGCAAAGGCCACGGGTGGCAGCTGGTGGGCTGGGGGCAGGCAGCAGGAGCCCGAGGAGCCCGCGCCCACCAGAGCTTCGGGGGAAAGCAGCAGCACCTGAGCTGAGCCTTCCTGCACGCGCCGCAGGGCCGCGTCCCGCTGCGCACGGCTCAGGTGGGAGTGAACGCAGACGGCGCGGAGGCACGGGGGGAGGCCAGAGACCTGCAAGGGGAACAATGGGGTGGGGGGGAGTTTTCTACGTGCAGAGGGGTGGGCTGAGGGAAAAGGGGGGGACTGTTCCTGGGAGGGGTTTGGGAAACGGGGAGATGTGGGACCAGGGGTGGGGTGGGGGGCGGTGGGGATCTGGGAGGACTTCTCCAAGCAGAAGGATTCTGTTTAGGGGGGTGATGTGGTTGGATTGGGGATCTTGGTGGTCTTCTCCAACCCCAATGAATCCATTTAAGGTCACGGTGGGGTTGAGTCAGGGATCTTGGAGGTCTTCTCCAACCCTACTGATTCCATTTAGGGTCGTGAAAGGGTTGAGGTGGGGATCTCAGAGGTCTACTCCAACCCTAAGGATTCTATTTAGGGTTGTGATGGTGCTGGATTGCGGATCTTAGTGGTCTTCTCCAACCCTACTGATTCCATTTAGGGTCATGGAAGGGATGGGGAGGGGATCCTGGAGGTCTTCTCCAACCCTAATGATTGTATGGTTCTATTTAGGGTCATGGTGGGGTTGGGTTGGGGATCTTGGAGGTCTTCTCCTACTCTAAGGATCCTATTTAGGGTCACGGTGGGTTGGGGATCTCAGAGATCTTCTCCAACCATAAGGATTTTATGGTCTTATTTAGGGACACAGTGAGGATGTGTTGGGGACCTTGAGGGCCTCCTCCAACCCTAATGATTCTATTTAGGGTCATGGTGAGGTGGGATTGGGAACCTTGGAGGTCTTCTCCAACCCTAATGATTGTACGGTTCTATATAGGGACATCGTGGGTGTGGTTTGGGTATCTTGGAGGTCTTCTCCAACCATAAGGACTCTGTGTTTCTATTTAGGGTCATGGTGGGGTCGAGTTGGGGATCTTGGAGATCTTTCCCAACTCTAATAATACTATTTAGGGTTCTATTTAAGAACAGGGTGGGGATGGGTTGGGGATCTGGGAGGTCTTCTCCAATCATAAGGACTCTATGTTTCTATTTAGGGTCATGGTGGGGTTGAGTTGGGAATCGTGGAGGTCTTCTCCAACCCTAACAATTGTATGGTTCTATTTAGGGTCATGGTGGGGTTGGGGATCTTGGAGGTCTTCTCCAACCATAAGAGTTCTGTGGTTCTATTTAGGAACATGATGGGGATGGTGATCTTGGAGGTCTTCTCCAACCCTCAGGATTGTATTTAGGGTCATGGTGGGGTTGGCACCTTGAAGGTCTTCTCCTGTCCTACTGATTCTACTTATGGTTGTGGTGGGGTTGAGTTGTGGACCTTGGAGGTCTTCTCCTATCATAATGATTCTATTTACGTCATGGTGGGGTGGAGATCTTGGAGACCCTATGGATTCTATTTAGGGTCATTGAATTGTTGGATTTGGGATCTTGGTAGTTTTCTCCAACCCTAATAATTCTATTCAGGGTGACGGTGGGGTTGGTTTGGGAATCTTGGAGGTCTTCTCCAACCCTAATGACCGTATGGTTCTACGTAGGGTCACAGTGAGGGGGGGTTGGGTATCTTGGAGGTCTTCTCCAACCATAAGGATTCTATTTAGGGTCATGGTGGGTTGGGGATCTCAGAGATCTTCGCCAACCATAAGGATTCTATGGTTCTATTTTGGAACATGATGGGGTTGGTGATCTTGGAGGTCTTCCCCAACTTTAAGGATTGTATTTAGGTCCATGTTGGTGTTGGGGTGGGGATCTTGGAGGTCTTCCCCAACCTTAAGGATTCTATTTAGGGCCACGGTGGTGTTGGGTTGGGGATCTTGGAGGTCTTCTCCAACCTTAAGGATTCTATTTAGGGTCATGGTGGGTTGGGGATCTCAAAGATCTTCTCCAACCATAAGGATTCTATGGTTCTATTTAGGAACATGACGGGGTTGGGAATCTTGGAAGTCTTCCCCAACTTTAAGGAATGTATTTAGGTCCATGTTGGTGTTGGGTTGGGGATCTTGGAGGTCTTCTCCAAACATAAGGATTGTATTTAGGGCCATGTTGGTGTTGGGGTGGGGATCTTGGAGGTCTTCTCCAACCCTAACGATTGTATGGTTCTACAAAGGTACATTGTGGGGTTAATTGGGGATCTTGAAGGTCTTCTCCAACCCCAGTGATTCTACGCTTCTATTTAGGGTGGCGGTGGGGTTGGGGTTGAACTCCTCCCACTTCAAAAAATGGAGCTGCCTCCCGTTGTGATGGAGCAGTGGGATGGAAATGTGGAGGTACCTGGTCATCCATCAGCGACACCAACGGGGAGACCACCAGCGCGATGCTCCGCGAGCGTTTGTGGTACAGGAAGGCAGGCAGCTGATAGCACAGAGACTTCCCCATCCCCGTGGGGAGCACGACCAACGTGGAGAGCCCTGAGGGAAGGGATGAGGGTTGGAGGAACGGAGGGGATGTGGCAAAAGGGACAGAGTGGGAAGAAAACGCACCTGAGAGGATCCTCATGATGGCCACCTCCTGGCCGGGGCGGAAGGAGCTGTAGCCCAACTCAGAGAGCGCGTCCAGCACCTCCCTGGGGGTCTCTGTGAAGAATACGGAGGGGTTAGGAGTGGGGAGATGTGGGATTGGAGGTGGAAACGTGGCTGCAGCCTCACCTCGTGGCTTCCCATCAGGCCCCAAGCTGTAGAGGGGCTCCACGGGTGCGGGAGGTGTGGGGGGTTCGTAGGGCGGGCGCTGCACGTCCAGGTATGGAGTTGGCCCCTTGAACTCGGCTCCGTCCTGGTCGCTGCTGGGTGCTGAGGGATGGAGGCGGCCATCAGCACTGCGTGAGGGATGTGGGGGAGCAGGGAGGGCTCCCGGGGCTGAGGGGTCTCACCGGGGAGCTCCTGATAAATGGTGTTGGTCCGGCGGGCCACCTCTTCCAGGGTGGGCAGGGGATCCTCCTCCTCTTCTTCTTCTTCATCGTTGGGATGGATGGGTTCTGCTGGAGGAGGTGCGTGGGCAGCGGTGCCTGGAGGGAGGAGGAGCAGGAGATGGTCCTCAAAGAGAAGGAGGTGGTGGTGGATACAGAAGGAGCAGGAGATGGGGGTGACCATATGGACCCAGAAGGAGCAGGAGATGGGGGTGCCCAAATGGACCCAGAATGGTCACAAGGAGATGGTGGTGCCCACGTGGATCCAGAAAGAACAGGAGAAGATGGCGATGTCCATACGGACCAGAAAAGCCACAAGGAGATGGTGGGGCCCATACAGACCCAGAAGGACCACAAGGAGATGGTGGTGGAGCCCACATGGACCCAGAAGGAGCAGATGGTAGTGCCCATGTGGACACACAAGGGCCACGAGGAGATGGTGATGCCCAGATGAACCCAAAAGGAGCAGGAGATGGTGGTGGTGGTGTCCATGGGGACCCAGAAGGAGCAGATGGTGGAGCCCATGTGGATCCAGAACGTGCAGGAGATGATGGTGGTGTTCCCATGGACCCAGAAGGGCCACAAGAAGATGGTGGTGCTGATATGGACCTAGAAGGAGCTGGAGATGATGGTGGTGGTGTCCACATGGACTCAGAAGGAGCAGAAGGAGGTGGTGGTGTCCATACGGACCCAGAAGGAGCAGGAGATGGTGGTGGTGCCCAGATGAACCCAGAAGGAGATGGTGGGGTCCATATGGACACGAAAGGGCCACAAGGAGATGGTGGGGCCCATATGGACCCAGCAGGAGCACAAGGAAATGGGGGGGCCCAGATGGACACAGAAGAAACACAAGGAGATGGTGGTGGTGCCCAGATGGACACAGGAGATGGTGGGGCCCATATGGACACAGAAGGGCCACAAGGAGATGGTGGTGGTGCCCAGATGAACCCAGCAGAATCAAGAGATGGTGGTGGGGCCCAGATGGACCCAGAAGGAGCAGAAGGAGATGG